TTTTTAAATGTTCATAAGAACCCTCCTGGGCAGTCCTACTAACCGATCCGTAGAGCACCTTACAGGATGAAAAACAATCTTTTCTCTACTTCAAAGCTCGTCGTGATTTTTGGGTAGAATTTTTTTTCTCAGCGACAACCCCCGTCAAAACCCTTTTTTGAGAAGGGTTGCAGCCAGGCACAGATATACGAGAGGCGTTGTTTGCAATGCTGTGGCAAGAAACACTTGCGAAACACATCTTTATATATATATATATGTTTGTAGGTGGTGAACGCGTATCTTTGACAAGTCTTCCTTGATTATATCGATTTTTTTCACACAGCGAGGGCAGTTAATTTCTGAAATAAGTGTCGTCACTTACATCGCTGATGCTGCGTTCGTATCTGTTCTTCCAGACTTCAGCGAAGAATCGCATTTTTTGTTCCACTTTGATGCCTGGCTAACTACATCACTGTTACGTTTGTCTTGCTCGCTACCAACAATTTAATGTGCATTTGCTGATTGCTCCTTTTAGCAACTGCTAGTAAATTTGCAGAATCGCTTAGTGCCTTGAGATGTAGCTTTTTTTACGGACGAAAATTTCTTGCCACCGGTGTACATGAAATAATTTCTTTGCTGGTCCCTGTCAAAGTTGTTCTGTACCAGAAATCAGCAAAGAGTCACTAAAAAATTCTTACGTTTCGTCTGACAAATAATCTCACAGACGTCTCACAGACGTTTCGTCTGTGACAAATTTCAAGATTTCGACCTTTTATTGACTGATTGCTTGTTTCTCAGCATGGATTCGGGGGCACTGTGCTGTCAGCGCAGAACGTGAAGTTAGTCAGAGAAAGAATGGCATGACCAAAGTGTTTTTTTCAGTCGTTTGTTGTTCTTCTCCGCTCATCTTTATTTGCATGCAAATCTCACCTTTGATTCAGGTTAGTTAACCAGCTAAAATCGAATTAGCCAACGAGCGCAAATGTTCCTAACTCCTAAATGCAAGTATTCAGCTTGAAATCTTTTCCGGAGCTCTGCACTAGGATCAAAGTTTTGTCAGAAAATGGTATCTTCATCTTTTATACTGTACTCTTCCACTTTCAGTTGTTTGTGGATGACTGGTAAGGGTCGGACTAGACTTCGCAAAGAACGCAGCGTAATCACACGTGCATAAAGATATGGGGCATATGCTGCGCATCGCGTACGCGGTTAGCCGCGCAATATAACTTCACCCTAAGTAAAATCCTCCATTTCGTTTTTCATTATTGCACTGTCTACTTTGGCCTGATCTAACTATTTCCGATTGTGAGAATTTGTGAGACTAGCACCGAACTCCTCTGATGGATGTGGCTCGTTCAATCGTTCATTGTGAGAGCAAGCCGAATATTAGATAATCTCATCAATAGTTACTAGGCTTGCAGCTTGTAGCCTTTCTTATAATTACTTCTTTTTCTATGATTGGAATTGGGCATTACTCAGGGTCCGCCGTCGTTACCGACAATTGCCAGTGGTGCAAAACAAAGAATAACATACAGTAAATACTGTAAGATTTCACAACGATCGACAACGCCGGCAAGCCTGTCAACAGTTGCTGACAACGTATAATCACAAAAAACAGCATGTATATCACAGTGATGGGAATCTTCGTGAATGACACCTTATAGATAAGCTAACAACTGAATGCACTAAACAGAGAGCACGAAGTGGGGACATTCGAATATAGAGTGATTAGAATTGTTGCCATTAAGATTGAGGAAGGGGGGGGGGGGAGAAGTAAGTGCATTCATCGCATTTGTCTCTCAAGTTTCTAAGTCTTGTTTTCCACTTGATTTTCTTTGAGTTTTTTTGAGGTTGGTACTGAGGTTTCTAGGTTTTGTCGGCTTATGTTTCGGTTGTATTTCCGTCGTAGCAAAGCACCCTGTTCTCAATCAGTTCGAGATGAAATGTTCTGTACTTAACGGCGACGTAATAACGCTTCTAATATGACGCTTGAATCTGTAAAATTTCAAAAAAGTAAGAGTTTGAGGAAATGGGAAGTTATTGTGAGATTCTGCCACATTTTTGCAAAGCAAGGTGTGCATCACAATGTTACGGATGCTACTTGTTGTCGATGGAAGCTGGTGATCTTCACAACGGATATATCTATATATTAACATCTGCATGTTAGTAACCAATCACAAAGTTGCTTCAACTATCCATGAACGATTCTCGGTGAGCAAGCTGTTAGTTTCACTGGCTAAAGAATAGCGTGATTTCAGGTGAGATTTTGCTGTAAAGTTCCTATGTCTTTCCTTGGTGCTGGATAACCTCATAGGATGGCATAGCTCTCTTTGGCTCATGAAATTTGTGAGAATTTCGCTTTTCCAGGTATGTCGTACTGGCTTTGTCTATGGTCAATGTTGCCCCTTGCTGATTTTGGGTTATCGTCTAAGTGCACATTACAGCTTTTCTCCGCTTATCCTGAACATGCGCAGTTCGCTTTGCAGTGTCGATATCTGCATGATTTGTAGGAGCCATTGCCTAAGAATTGATTTAAATGGAAATGCTCTTATTCCTTTAGTGCCTCCTGAACGCATAATAACTTATTGGTATAGCTTAGATTAGTATGATTTGTTTAGTTTCTTGGAATCACATTGATTAGTCCCTCCGAAGGGACTCGTGTGTGAGAGATCGTCCTGATATCCGCGGTGCAGAGCTACATCGTTATTGATCCTACGCTGTGCTTCCGATTGGTTCGACAGGTTTTGCGCTTTCTCTTAAAAATGCTTCGTGAGCACAATTTGTACGCAGCTGGATGTCTGCGTTTTTGAGTAATTTCTAGTTGTGCAACTGGTTTCATTTATTACCTGGCTCCATGCCTTTTTTCTCCATTCTCACACTATTATTATCTGTAAAACAAACAAGAAACTCTTTGTTGCCTAAGATTGCATCCGTTTCTGATCTCATGGGCAAGTTATCTTGGATATAAATTTTAATGTTATCTCTCTCGCCCACCGACCTTATGAGCAGGGTTAGGCAAGAGATCAGGCACACGCTAGTCGAATACGACCCCATTCTCTTCCTATTCCTCTTTTCCTTCCCTGTACATCTTACCGTTTAATCATTAACTAATCAAGTAATCAATCAAGGCTAATCAAGTAGAATGCTGCGCCTGATCAATTTCAGTAAATTCTTCATCTCGTGTCCTTCTTTTTTGTAGAGGTCCATTCAAAATGGTGAGATAGCAAATGCTTGACGATATTGTTTGTTGCACATCACAATTTGTCTTTCTTCAAATAATAATCAAAAACATTGTTGTCACTTGAACGAGATTCTTGTGCCACAACTCTTGTGCTTATTGTCAAGGTTCCAGTATGGCAACATGAAAAGCAGTTGCAACGTGCCTTTCTGTGAAGAGGTCTGCTCTTTATATTTGTCGTACTGGAGCTCTTCTTCCGTAGCAAATCCCAAGGCGAGCTTTGAGTGGTTTATGACCTTCAAAATTTAAAACGGAAGTCAGTATGTAGAGCATTGCTGTCACTAAGTTAGATTCAATGATTTTGTATGTCGAAGGAGGCATGTTGTTGGATGGTCTAGAACAAGTTGAAGGTGTTAAGGTTAGTCCAAATGTAACAACTACTTTATTCACAGTCAATTCCACCTTAGGCCCCGACTTCACGCGATTTGATCGTCGCGAGTCAATCGCCGACATTTCCATTCATTTTCATTTCCCATTCAAAAATTTCGAGCTGGAAAAGTATCACAACCGAAATGCAAGTTGATCGGCATGGATGTTGCAACAGTTGTCTCGTAGCGATTCAGTCGCGACGATCAAATCGCGTGAAGTCTGTCCGGGGCCTTAGGCCTCGGGCAGAGTTGAGCGATTTAATCGTCGCGATTGGATCGCTACAAGACAATTGTTATGAGTTCATTGCATGCCGATCTTCTTGCATTTCGGTTATGATAGTTTTCCAACCGACTTACCGTGACTAACTATCGCAACCGAGATACAAGAAGATCGGCATGCAATGAACTCGTAACACTTGTCTTGTAGCGATTGAATCACAACGATCAAATCGCGTGAACTCTGCCCGAGGCCTTGGATGATCTCATATGAAGTTGAGGAAAAGTAAGTTCGAACTTGTCGAAGCAGATTGCAAAGCTTCCGAATTTCCTTCATAATCAATAAACATGACTTCACGTGGGCAAGTTCAATAGATAGTTAGATAAATAGATACAGTTAAAGTCACAGTTTTCGCGCGAGTGAGATCTACGAATGAGATGTGGAGGGCGCCAAACATGCCCGCATGTTAGACATTACTCAAGGGATTATCAAATGTGCACGTTTATCTTCACTTTCAGTTCTTGCATTACTTCAGTTGCAAATCTAACGACAACTCATGTTTCATTATGTCTGTCTTGCTCACTTGTGGGTAAGCAACAGTGACTAGGGCTTCATCGATACATCGTCTTTTTAAACATTACCTGTCGTTGCATTGGTATTTTTGGGTTGCTAAAAGGAGGTTTTGGGTAGAGACATCAGTGGACAGAGCTCAGGGCAATGCTAAATGTGGATCCATTATTCGGTTGGTTACGTTCTTTCAACAATAATCATATAAGACACTACGAACCCGATGCATGGCAGATGTTGTGTGATGCACTAAAGCAGTAGTGCAAATCTTTTATGCTTCAATACTATTTACAGTGGCAATCTTGACGCAGATCAACATGGGAAAGACAAGGCACAAGGAGAGAGTTTCAAAATAATCACGGCCAATTGCATGTATCCTCGAGTCATTTGTAACTCAATATGCGTGTTGCAGACCAAGCCGCTAATTGCAAGTTGTAAGGTAGACCTTACGTTTTAATGATTTATCTTATTTACTGCCTCTTAATGGATATGTTTTAGTTGATTGTACGATTCAGTGCAGTTTGTGTAAAAGTTGCTGATGAAGTCCCACGGGTCGCCGCGCGGTTGTGTAGGCTCACATATTAAGTTACGAATGACTCATACGCAAAATACCAATGATACCATACAACAATTACGGCACATAGGCCTCCCAAGCCTGGTCCATTGTTGATAGAATTTCTACTACTTCGTTTTCATGCACTGAACCTCGTTCATAATTGGTGATTTCGAGAATTCGCGGTAGATAATTCAGCACCTTTGCTTTCAATCCTTCGACTTTTTCCTCATATTCTGCCATTTGAGCTTTGATCATTTCTTGTGGCGCTATAAGATTGACATCGTAATGCCATGTTCTGTTCCTGAAACCAATGACTGATAAAATTGTGGCACAGTCACAGCCAATGCTTCCATGAGAGAAAGAGAAAATGAGAGAAAAAGTGATCGCAATAAACAGCATCTTGTGTTTGAATGAGTGCTGCTCCCGCCAAGATGTCAGAGGTAGTTGCAAAAACAGCGTGAGACCTGATTGGGAGCGAGTTTATTAGCGTCAAAGCCATGCTGTATGCTCTGGCTTAACTGTCAGCTGAGGCGAAAGATTTTTGCATCAAATCTACGGCTGAACCAGACTACGCGACGTATGCGGCGTACAGGGCTCCTAAATTGCAGACTCGTTTGCACCAGCGGTCGCGCGACCACATCGCGCCCGGGAATTTTGCCGGCGCCGGCGCCATCGATCGAGGCGGCGCCATTGATGCCCGGCCGCGACGCGGTCGCGCGACCGCTGGTGCAAACGACTCTGCAATTTAGGAGCCCTGTACATGATTTGATTTTTCGAGCCACTGTCTTTGAGTGTGCAGCAATTGATAAACTGTGGCTCTATCTACATTTAAGTTTCGCCATGTTCATCTTTTCCAAACAAATATGAGTTCTAATAGATTGGCACATAAGTAATGCAACTTTTATATAACTTTTGTCTATTTGAACGTAGCGCATTCGTTTTTTGGCAATATAAAGAATATGATGTAAGCTTCTAATGCACACATTTTTGCCGAATTTTACCTTCTTATGTGAGGATTACGGTAGGTTTACGGTACTATGGGAAAAATTTTAGAATGCATCAGATTTTGCTGAAACTTGACCTAAAGGGCTTATTTGACATGATGATCACAAAAATGAGATCCGTTTCGCATGAAAAAGCCTCGTTCGTGAGACCAAAAGACGAATTTCATTTTAGCGACAAATGAATATGATATTCGTGTTTATCGCATAGGATTACCCTATAGTGCAAAGTTATAGCGAATTCTGACTTTTCGCAGCTTAGTTATTGACAAATTGCCTTCGAAACTTGACGCATTTGAATTGTTCAACTTCTCAAAGTCGCCCCACCTTAATTTGTGCCTGAATTTCATTTTTTTTCACTGGTTCCAATGTGCCAACTTCCAGCTACATGCTGCCTATAGTTGCTTTTTCATATGTTTGAATCAGGTTTCGTAAGGCTTCATGTTTGCCAAAAAATCGTGAAACCTCAATTTTCAGCAGTTTTCAAAAATGCTTACATTTCTTCTACTACGTTATCAAAAATCAAACGGTTTGCGCAGACTTGCAGCTTACATTACGATCTACATGATGCCACAAAATGAGATTGCTACATAAAATAGGAAAAAAGTTACGGGAAAAGTTGCAAAACTTATGTGCCAACCTGATATAATCTTCTTGAGATGCTTCTAAGACGTAACAAACATTATCTTACTTAGGCGTGCACAGGGTCAGATTAAAATTGCCAGCAAATGGACTGTACCAACCAGAAAACGAGTCGATGTCTTTCTTCTCTTTCCTGAAACGTTGAAGAAAATTGAATTAGAGTTCCATTGAAACTTGACTTACACTTTGAGTTTGTCTTCATAAGTCTTCAGATAGTTCGTTTTCCAGTTATGGATCATAAAATCAGATTCCATGCTCCACTTACTGTTGGTCACTATGTGATCACGTGCCCATCCAGTGCCCTGTACAGCACAGTGACGTACAATTCAACAGTATTGTGCACCACACTTACAAAAATAGCTGACCTTTTTTAGGATTGCGACATTCGCAATGCGAGTTCTGTTTCCAAATATTTCGCGAATGCATGCTTCATACAGAAAGAGTGATCCATATTCATTAGCATGCTCATATATCAAAAGGCAGGATGGCAACTGTTTGCTGTTTGAGGTAAGAGCTTCAGCCAAATAAGCCTGCATACACAAAATAGAAGTTTTTGAACCTTGTCCCTTCGAATCTCACTTTGTTGTGTGCTATCGTCTCGGCCCTGTCTCACTACAATAAATGCGAATTTAGATAGTAGAGATTCAGAAGCCTTGAAAAATCCTTTATTTGCGAAGCTTCTTGTGCGTAAAACATAGACGCTTCTGGTTCTTTAATAATCACAACGAAGGCTTATCATGTCTACTAACTGTTACAATTCAGTTCCTGGTAAACATGAATTGAATTGAAAAAAAACCAAGGTAATTTCGATAAGTTTTGAACAGAAGCGAAGACCTTGTAGCAGCCTTTCGCTAATATTTCCATGTTTACGCTAAGATGCGAAGCGGCTACATTTAGCCATCTTTTACTCTGAGGGTTGGCCCAGAGTGCGCGGCGTCAAGCGCTGCATACGCGGCGTACCCTACGTAGGCAGCGTACGCTCACGTGCATAAAGATATGGAGAGTACGCCGCGTACGCAGCGCGGTTTCGCTCAAACTTAATTCACCCACTTACGTGCAATGCTCCATTGTCACTGCCGATCGCCATCTTTGGTACATGGGATTCGTACTGCGCAAAACCTTAATAGACATGAAATTGAAGTTTAAAACCCGTGTAAGCAATTAGCATTAGTTGAATAACAGCTCACGGTATAGAAAATTAATTGACCAAGTACTGTTTTTTACTATGTAACTCCCGGCCATAACTTCCCAGTTATAGAAACGATCGTAGAAAGTGATGTCGACGTGAGGATCGATGAAATCTTCTACGAGCCTCAATGTGAGCATTAGCAGCATGTTCCGGTTTAGTGGAGACTGCTGGTGTTAGAAGAGTTACATAGAATATTTCAAACAAGGTTCAAAACAGATGCATCGGTCTATTCAAGATTAGCGTGGGGTCATGCGTGCCCAATTTGGGGAGCGGGGTCGTAATCAAGAACTGAATCTGTCCTAAAAATTGAGGAAATACTACGATCGAGTAAGGTAGCCAGATTTCAATTCTTCTTCTCTTTCACACATACCGTAAGGTCACAAAAGAATCTTGCTGTGTAAATTGATGATTTTCGTAATCAGCATGCCATGTTACCTCTACGAGCTCTACAAGCCACGCTATTATTTCAAGTATTTCCTGACGTCTAAAAAGCGTGATCAAACTTGAATAACTTGGTCACAAAAATGGAAGAAATTAGCTTTTTTGTACTTATAACGAAGTATTACCCTCTATCAGTCCATGGTAGAAACTAATTCATATGCTTTCAAATAATGGATTAGGAAATGCTGCCAAAATTCTAACCAGTCTTTCCACCTTAAGTGCGTCAACATCACCGAAAGTCGAAACAAGTCCAGGTAACTTCCTACCGTAAATTCTTCGAGGTTTGTGCTAGCAAATCGCACAAAACTAGGGTGAAAAACTTTTTCGATGACAAACTTAATTGGGTCAGGCGCAACCCCTCAGAACGGGCTGTCTGAACTTTTGCAGCCTTGTGCCAAATCCCCTTAGGATATCTTTAGAATTTAGAAATTGGTCTTCCGGTATGAATACTGAGCTCATAGCTTTTCGTTACAGTGGAAACTTGGAGCCAAACACAGCAACCCTTGGAAATTCGTGGCCCTTTAAATAGACTTATTCAGATCAGAATCAACCGCCAAATTAATGCGATTGTAAAGTACAGTCACAGGAAATTACGGTACAGCCGTCGAATATGCAAAAACTCTTTAGGACAGGACTACGTTCTCTAGAATGTTACATTCTGAGTGACCGGAAGTAAAGGAGAGGGGAAAGGGGGCTGTTTGGAAAGAGGGGAAATCGTTTTCGAAGGTATGTGCCTGATTTTTTCATTCGATAATTTGAACAGTCTACAGATGCGCGAGGGTTTCCATGTGCGTCATAGCCTCTAGGCTGATGCAAACATTTTAAGTCTTGCTTACTGTAAGAAAGCATGCAGTAAAGTACCCTCAACAATGATTATGAGCAAAGATTAATCGCGAGTGGTATGGCAGACACCTCAAACAAACATTGCTTTGGATATACTCGAGTAAATCAACAGCAGTGTGCAACTGCATTAAATCACCTAACTGTACTAATTCCATTTCAAAAAGGCTCGCAAGGTGAAGTGCAGAATTCAGTTTGGCACTATCATATCTTAGTCGAGAACTGAACAATGCGCATGCTTACCGGTTCGGATTTACTACTCCTATATCAGAGTCCAAAAAGAGCACGTAATCGTAGTCTTTGAGCACACATGCGACTATGCAGTGCCGTCGAAAAAATGGCTGAAAAGTACTTTTTTTCAAAGAGATAAGACTTCATCTAGCAAACTCACATCCTTTTGCGGGCATAGTTTACCATAGCTGTTGTCTTTTATTACGTGGAAATCGTAAGCGTGCACCTTTGCATAGCAAGCAACGCTCACTAAATAAGGACATAGAGTATTTGAGATACAAACGCAATGAACGCATTCAACGCTAGTTACTTGCTGAAAAATACAAGGAAACGGCACAGAAAAGGAGCAACTATCTGGCTACGATCATTTTGTGAGAAACTTGGTAACCTTAAAATGAAGTTGGATGCGAATCAACTAGTTCTATCTGATTGTTGCAGTCATTCGTGGGTATTAGTCTGTTGCTTAATACAGTCATTGAGTTCCATCAATGATAGAAATTATTATTCAGTCCTAAAAGTCATGTTCATTATAACTGATCATCAACGGAGATGATAAATTAGGGGAATACATAAGTAGGTACACGATGAGATTTTTGACTCTTTCTATAAAAATGAAAATTGGAATCAAATTCATTGAGAGGAAAAAGTTGACATTTGTAGTCGATGTTTCAACTTTATATCAGCACAGCTGTGCCGAACACTGCGAATATACTAATATCAATATTTTTAATAAAAAACATGTAGACATAATGTTGTAGACAAGAGCAACAAGTTTGATTCTAGATTTACGTAAAAGTACCTAGTATATATAAAATATCTACATTTATGATAATTCAAATAGTTATACAGGGTCCCGAACATATGTATACACTGTTTGATCGTTGTCTCGCTTCCCTAGAAGTCTTTTGCCTACTTATAGGTACCATTTTGTAGAGATGGCTTTCAGCTTAATATCACAGTATTGAGCAAACCGTCGATCTTCCTCCGTTACTGTAGGGTTATGATAGAATTTTTAAAAGGATTTGGGCTGTTGAGGGCTTTATTTCGCCTCGGAAAGCAAATCAAACAACCTAAAACTCTTAAACTAGGTTAAATAGAGTCGTGTAAACCAAATATGAATTCTGCAACTTACCACAATGCTTCCTTCATAGCTCATGCCAATCAAAGCGCAATAGCTGCCTTTACAGTGCTCCCTTAAATTGTGATTACACCATTTGAAAAGCTCTACAAACTCCTAAAGAGATGAGTAGCGAAATCGCGCGCGTAAGTTCCCTGATACACCATTTTTCAGAATCTTTGGGAACTTCTTCTGAAACACGATTAGTGCACAATGACGCTGCAAGCCAGAAGTTCCTACAGTAATCTTACAGTAATGGAGATTGATCGGTGGCTCGCTCCATACTGTAGATCTAAGTTGAAGCCAGCTTTACAAATTGGTACGTGGAGTTAAGCAAAAGACTTTCTGGGAAGTGAGAGATTAACGATCAAACAGAGTATACATACTTTTGGGACATCATGTATAATAAGTTCTTTGTTTGAAATGAAATGAACCAAGGTTAAACTATGAACTATTAGGTTGAACCGAAAGTTTTGTCGCACCATTTTCAAAAAATCGTAACTTCTTTCGGTCACGAGGATTTTGCGCAAATCAAATTTTGTCTGAAAGCGTAGAACATGTAGTTTCCAAAAGTTCCAGTTCCAAAAGAGGAATTTCCAACATGCCCAGGTTGCAGAGATAAAAATGAAAGAACGAGATCATCCAAAATTCAGAATTTTTAAGCAAGAATTCTAGAAATTCAGAGATTGTGCGATAAAATCCAGAAAAGCCATTATCCTAGTTTTTCTTACATTTGATTAATAACTGAGTCAAGTTTGTGCTGATCTAGCCCTTTTTTTAAAAGTAATGATTTTTTGAAAAAATGCCGAAAAAATCAATTTTCTAAGAATTCTTAAGAAATGGATTTTTTGGCATTTTTTTTCAAAAATTCATAACTTTTGAAAGAAGGGCTCGATCAGCACAAACTTAACTCAGTTATCAATCAAATGTAAGAAAAACTAGGATAATGGCTTTTCTGGATTTTATCGCACAGTTTCTGAATTTCTAGAATTCTTGCTTAAAAATTCCGAATTTCGGATGATCTCGTTCTTCCATTTATATCTCTGCAACCTGAGCACCTTGGAAAGTACCAAAGAAGCTTTGGAAACTACTTGCTTTGCGCATTCTAACAAAATTTGAACTGCGCAAAACTGTTGTGACGGAAAGAAGTTATGATTTTTTGAAAATGGTGCGACAGAACTTTCGGTTCAACCTAATATATTAGGTTGTCCCAAAAGTTCTTGCGCCGGATTTTCAAAAAATCATAACTTCCTTGCCACTCAATGGATTTTCTTGATTTTATTTTTATGTGAAATAGGAAACCTTACTCTTTACAGTGGTACCTTTGCCATGAATTAGCATTGGTAAGTTCGAGAGCTAGAAGCAATTGAAGGAAATTAGTCAAGATCGACATTTTTCAAGCTGGATCACGAAAAATTCTGCAAGTATTTTTACTTGATAGAGTAAATTTTGCACATTACAGAAGTACCTTTTTCATAAATTAAAACAAAGTAGATTGAGAGTTAGAAGCAAATAAAGAGAATTCCTTCAGTTTTGCAATTTTTGAGCACGCTCAAAAAAGCTTGAAAACGTCACAGAAAAGGCGAAAAAGTCATAAACATGGGTTTTGTGACATTCCCTTTGTAGCTGAGCGAAAGTCGAGCCAATCGAGGGCAATTTTCATTTTCGTGAAAAAAAGCAGGCTCGAAAATCCGAATAAATCACGAAAATCAAAATTTCTCCCGATTGGCACGATTTTCGCTCAGCTACAAAGGAAAGGTCACAAAACCCATGTTTATGACTTTTTCGCCTTTTCTGTGACGTTTTCAAACTTTTTTGAGCATGATCAAAAACTGCAAAACTGAAGAAATTCTCTTTATTTGCTTCTAACTCTCGATCTACTTCGCTTTAATTCATGAAAACGGCACCACTGTAATGTGCAAAATCTTCTCTATCAAATAAAAATACTTTCAGAATTTTTCGTGATCCAGCTTGAAAAATGCCGATCTTGACTGATTTTATTCAATTGCTTCTAGCTTTGGAACTTTCTGACCCCGCTTCACAACAAAGGTACTATGGTAAAGAGAAAGGTTTCCTCTTTCAAATGAAATTAAAATCTAAAAAATCCATCGAGTGGCAAGGAAGATATGATTTTTTTGAAAATCCGGCGCAGGAACTTTTGGGACAACCTAATAATATAACTTATCCAATGACGGCTTCATTTCATCATACATACAAAACCATGGGCAATCATGTGGGCATTCATAGTTATAAGCTGATTAAATTTAACATTACGTTACATATATAAGATATATGGGCACTTTGCTTTGGAGACTGCGAAAAAGTCACAGGTAAGTACTCCACAATTTATCTTCACATTTAAACAAAACGTAATAAAAAGTTTACTAGCCTAACTAATGAACTTTATAAAAATTCAAAAGAAAGTAAATATACGTGATTCTAGATTCCTTCCTTTCTGAGAAATTTGGGAGGAAGCCCTAGAACTCTTTTCAAACTCAGTCTACGAGGAGGAAAGAAATGGAATAATAATATTAGGTTGTAAAGAAAGTTCTGCCAATTCTTCTCCTGAATACCAAAAATGAATGAGAATGCAAGGGGCTGATTTGAAATGTCTTTTTAATGTGCGATGGCCCCAACTAGTTAACGCGCTACTCAGCTCGAAAAAAATGATGATCAACTAGGAAGAAATGCCCAAAAAGGAGAAAAATCCGTTGCGCTCAGGTCTGCGAAAACGCACATTTTTCACATTATCGTCGGACAGAACCTCCAGAAGCTTGATTTGGAAATCCGTTTTATACCTTGTATATTAGCTAGTGAAGCAGTATCCGACTAATGCTTGCCCCGGTATTTGGGTCTTTTTCCAAGCAAGGAATAACTCAGTGAATTCAGGCTTCAAAAAATCGAACTCTCCACATGTTTCGAAACGCAGCCAGCGCGCTTTTTGGAAAAGAGCATTCACGACATACCTAATCAGTAGTCTAAGGAGTACATATGAATAAAATATCGCTAATTTCCAGCCACTCATGGTGAAGATATAAATAAAACAAATTAGCTCAGCGTCTATTTGCAGAACTTTCTTTACAACCTAATATTTAGTGCTCTTAGAAAGATGTTTTGAAAGATATTTTTACATACAGTGTCCCAAAAGTGTGTATACACTGTTTTATCGTTGATATCTCTCTTTGCAAAAAGTCTTTTATCTACCTTTAAAATTCTTGTTCCAAATTCAATCTACTCATTAATGGCACTCGCAGCCTGAGGAGGCATACTAGCAACTGCGGCAGTTCTACTCTATATTTTCAAGAACCTTGAAATGGTCATAACGTATTGATTCCCATCAAAGTTCATTTCAGCAGGTTCTCAACTAAGCTCGGTATTGCTTCCCTCTGGATGCTTAGCAGCGAGAGCGTTGAGAATACCATGCAATGATCATTGTTAAAATCAATCATCGGCCTAAGTGAAGCTTGAGTTCTAGTTTTTAGAGTGATCTTTCCCAGCAGTAACTCGAAATTCATTACTAACATATCATATTAATTTTCGAAATTATCTCTAGTCATCACCATTTCTAAAAGGATCTCGCTCAGTACTTTCGAGCAGGGCTCGGCAGAAATGGCTCACGGGGCAGGTTGGACGTCGTTTTGGAGTGAGAAGCAAAGGGGATATCGTTTTTGCGGATCCGGGGAATCCCAAAAATGTGTGTAAGCCTTTATTTGTTGTATATGAAGAAAGCACGTTATAGTCTGTTGTATATGAAGAAGTCGACGTTCCTTCGTGCAAAGCGGAGTATCGAGATGGGGATTTAAACCTTCTGAACGCAAAGGGAACCAAAACTGGACTCCAACAAAAAACACATAAGTAAAAACTTCAACGAGTTGACCAGTTTCCGCCCACTAGCTCAGCAATTTTTGCAGCAGCCCCCCCCCCCCTCTCCAGAAACAAAACTCATTCCAGGGTTGTTATCACATGAGTGTCTACACATACATAATTCCAATTCTCATCATGAACTCTCAACTTTTATCTTGTCTTCTCTTTATCTTCTCTGGAGATGTCGCAAATGCCCATCACTGCCCTACCTATTCAATTCTCTGCAAGAGCAGCAAATCAGCTTCAATAGCCTCGGCGCGCAAGCGCA